TTCCCTCTCTCCTTCCTCTTTTTTTTTTTTTTTTGGTTTCCTCAATATAAAATTTATGTTTTCAAAGCTTCCATTCATGTCAGTCATTCCATGCACAAATTATTCTTGGTCTCCCATTTGTTTCATTTTCATTTTAAGTATGTCTTTCATTTCCTAGCACTTTAATAGTCATATATTCCTTAAATAATTTTAGTTCTTTATATTTTGTAAAATGAAAGAAACTAGGCCAAGTAATGAATTTTTTTTATTAGAGTTAGGAGCTAAAGTGGGACTAGATGAGGTGGCTAGTGCTTCATGGAAAGAAACTTTGGTGATGTCTATAAATGAAAGTGATAAACCAAAGCCAAACGGGTTTGCTCATTAGCTTAAACCATTGTCATCTGAAGGTAATTTTTTTCTAACCTATTCTTATCTAAGTTCAAGATTAAAAAAAAAAAAAAAAGAAAAGCTTTTAAAAGAGACATTGCTAAGGGAAAGGAAATTACATATATAAACAAGAGATAAAACAAGAAAAAATTGGAAGCCAACGTAGAACACCTAAAATGAATAGGTTTTTCCTTTTGTGAAGCCAGGAAAACGAGAAAAAATAGGTGAAATCCTTTAAAAAAGGTTAGAATGCATGAAAAAATAGGTGAAACCTTCTCAAGGAAAGCTTTGAAAACTTCTTGAAGCTAAAATGTAAAATTTTTAGAATATGGTAAACAAAAAGATGATTTTTCATCTTTCGACGTTAAAAAATAATAAAAAATATAAATTTTCTCTCTCCTTATTAATTAAAACCCATCAACTTTGACATTCTATCTTTAATATATGAGACTGAATCCTCATAAAACTTAGAAAATTCTATACATATTCAATTGTCACACTACCGGGTAATATGCCCTATGAATGTCAATTTTATCCATACCCAATAGGAAATTCAACTTTTTACCTGAATGAGAATGTGGGTGGATATTACATTGTGAGAATGAGGATGGTGATAATTTTAAATTTTTTATTAGATATGAAAATGGGGACGGGTAATATAGCACTTGTCACATACTCATTCCTTATATATATTTATATATATTTAGTAAATAAATTTTTTTATTAAATTACTATTTTAGATTAACTAGAATTAATATATTTCTATTTTTAAAATATATGTTAATATATATTTATAAAAAGTTACATAAATTGCAAGATAAAAATAAAAAATTTTAAAAAATAAGTTTTGGTTTTTATTTTTTAAAAAAGTTACAAATACAAAAATTATCCATATATATTAAATACCCATAATAATAAAAATAAAGATAAATTTAAAATATTCATTAGATATGAATACAAAAATATATATAATATAAATTTTAAAAAATAAGAATAAAAAATACTCTATCCATTCCGTACAATACCCATGACATTCCTAATATGTCTTGAAAGAATATCACACTAAACCAGCACTAGAAAGCCTTACATCAGCATAATTATAGGTCATGGAAGCTTATCCTAGAATATAATATGTCAAGCATGCTATTATTTCGGCGTAAATCTGATATGCCGACCAGATAATCCAATCTAAGTAGGTTATTGGTGGAATAACTCAAATACTTTGCTTATAATAAAGCCTAACCTACATTGAAGTCACATCACCTATTATGAACTATCATACTAGCTGATAGGGGTAGATATTTTAGATTTTAGGGGCAAAACAATCTTTTTACCAATTTGAAATATATAGGATCTTAGGGACATTTTGATATTTTGATAGATTTGGGCATTTTAATCTTTAGGTCAACTTGACGTGACAAAATAGTTACAAGGAAAGTACGTGACTAAGATTCTCAGACCCACACCTGCAACTACCATCGTGGACAACCACCTCATTTCACGTTCATTTTACATGACCCTACTAACATGTCATCTGGTCATTGGTGAAATCCCCTAAAAATCCTAACTCTTGATCTTTCTCTTGTTGAGGTTGAAATTAAAAAAAAGAAAAAGAATGAAAACTCTGTCAAGAAGAAAGAAAAGAAGAAATTAAATCGAAAACTTCAAAAAGAAAATAGTGAATGTTATTCATCTTTGCGAAGGAAAAATATGACCAGAGGTCAATTAACAAGGAAGTCCAAAAAAATATTTCAAGTGACTCACAAAAACATTGCTTTTTAGAATGACTGTTTGTCTATTTCTCTCATGCTCTTACTTTTTAATAAAGAAACTTTAACCCTTATGCACTTTATGCCTTTGAATTTCAAGACGAAAGTGATACCTTTTGTCTTTGTATGGATTTAGGCTTTGTTTTGTGTATTCTTTTGTTGCATGAAGTGGTTCATACCCAAAAAGAAAAAAAAGTGATCCAACATTTTCATTTCATTTGTCATTAAATTTTAATAAGAGTTAGTTACATATTTGAACTTTAAGAAAATATATAAATTGATATTTAAAAATTAACGATTAAAGAATTAAAAAAAAATTCTTAAATTATAATTAAAAATCATTCAAATTCTTTTTTTTATTGTAAAATATTAATCATTTCAATTTCTATTTGCATGCAATTAAATTTTTTATTTAGATAAAAAATTAACGATGTTAATTTTTTGTCAACTCAATAAAATTTTATATAACATCAATAAAATATATTAAAATTTATTATGTGACATAATTAATACATGTAAAAATTAAATAAAATAAGCTTTTTCCTTATTTTCTCTATTTTCTCTATCCTTTCTCTCTTTAAGATCATTCTAAAAGTTCAATTAATTATAGTCCAAGTGTTGATTGATAAAATTTTGCCAATGCAACTAAATTCTTTCTATTTAAAAAATGTTCAATTGAGTCGAAATAAAATATTAAGAGCTTAATTGATTACAATAAAATATTAAATATTTAAATTATTATTGAATTATAATTTAGGGACATTTTTAACCCTTAAAACAAAAATAAAATGTACAATTTTACACTCTAAACTTTCAAATAATATACAATTTACATTATAAACATTAAATTATATATCATATTAGTTCAAATTCTAATTTTACTAACCGTATCAACTTATATATGTGGCATTTGATAAATATTATCAAGTTATGAGTTTAGCACATATACTATCAACATCATTTGTTAATATAAATTAAAAAATATTTATTTAATTTCCCTAAACTGTAAAAATATTTAGGGTCGATTAATCATTTTTTTGTCATGTGACATGCATATGAAGGTTTCTACGATATATTTACACTTTTATTCAACAAATAACATCCATATAATAAAATTATACTAGTTAGATACTATATGGTGAGTTAAATTAATAATATTAGAGTTTAAATTAAAATGATAATTATTTGAAAATTCAAGATGTAAAAAGTACATTTTATAATTTTTTTAGGTATCAATTTATACATTTTTCTCAAAATTCAAGTGCCAAAAATGTAATCAATTGGTTTAATAATTAAGTTAATAAATGAATAATAATAAATTCGTTATATCGTCGTTTTAACCTAAAATTTTCTTTCAATCAATTCTATTTTATTATTTCATTTATTTACATATTCTATTATATATGTGCAAAATGGATGGTGGCTTTGATATAATTTATTTATTAAGAATATTTCGTGGTGAGAGATTTGTGAACATGAATCACAATGAATTAAGTTATGTAGATGGTTAAAAAGGTTAGATATGAATGTCAACATGATAAAATATTATATTCCTTGTTCTTAAAAATTATAGACAAAAGGGTATAAAAAATCTGTGAATTATAATTAAAAAATTATTCAAATTCTTTTTTTTTTATTGCAATCAATCAACATTTCTAATATTTATTTGCATCAAATTAAATCATTATTTGAATGAAAAAATTAACATTGTTAATTATTTTGCTAATTAAGATAAAATATTTTATGACATTAATAAAATAAATGAAAGTTTATCACTTGACATAGTTAATATATGTGACAATTAAATAAAATAAACTTTTTTCTCTCTATTTTTTTTTCTCTCTCTAAGATTCCTTTAAATGTTTAATTAACTGTAATTTAGAGATTAATTTAATTTTTTCATATGATTAAATTTTGCTCGATTGAGAGTTTAACTGAGTGAAAATAGAAAATTAACGGCTTGATTGATTAATGATAATAAAATATTAAAAACTTAAATAATTATTAAATTATAATTTCAGAGCATTTTGATTCTCTAACCAAAATTATAGGAGAAATAAGTTATTCCCAACAGGCATTTATTTATTCTAGGATTCTTGAAGATAAGTTAGGTAAAAGTTTGTGTTTTTGCATGATGAAACTACCAATAAGAAACTAAAAAGATATTTATTTGAGTATTAAAGAATAGATTACAAATTTCAAAAAAAAAAAAAAAAAACCAAGTCGATGTTCCTAATGTCCTAGAGAAACATTCATCATTTACCGCCTGCTGCTCATTATACTGAAGCGGTAAATGTGAGGAGCCAAACCAGCTGAAGGAGCCATTATGTGTGGAATGTATGGGCCCTATCCTAATTGCAGGTCACATTCACAGCCATTACCTTTACTAATTGTATTTTGCAACCCCAGAGGAAGGTGCGTAACTTTGCCAGCATTCAACTTTTTACTTATGCTTATGGGACCGAACCAAAGTCAAATTATTTGAACTTAACGTCAAACTCAAAGTTCAGCCTTTCTAAGGGACCTTTACACTCTTAAACTGAAGTTTCCTATTGCAAACAAATACTATAATAGTGTAACACTCTCATCCCCCGGAGGGCACATTGCATCTGCAGAATTCTAGATTTATTTCGACACTAGGTATTGAAAGTGCCAATAATCTTTGGATACAGGCTGCAACCATTTTATAGCACTTTTAAGATTCTCATGGATCTCCTTTAGATTAGCCAAATACCATGGTCAGTATCGATTTTGGAAAAGCATGCCGTTGCCACAACAAGTTGATAATTTATCAAGGGAACCATCTTTAATAGAAAGATTAACAAGCACAATTTAGCTAAAATTACACTGCCGCCTAGCATTATTTCACCTAGATCCTACAATCCACCGATGTAAGCATCCTACATATGCCACTCAGTGCTTCTTGGCATGCCGTTGGCAAAAGACTTTTATCCTCGCCAGGCCTTCTTCGAGAGAAGAAGGCTCTACGGCAAAAGTAATGCGGAGCCAGTTCTTCAATCCCACTGCTATCCCTGCAAGTTTTCTTGCCTGTTAGTTTCATGATGTAAATCACCATGCAACCATTAGCATTCACAAGAACATAGGAAATTCCTTCATAAGTATTAATGCATGATTCACCTAACTGAAAGATTACTACTTTCTGGAGCAGGTGCAACAGTGAGATTTGGAAAGCATCAAATTCCAAATTTGATGATGTGAACATAAAGAATAACATTTGCCAACAAACATACTCATTGAAGACAAAAAAGGCACCAGAGACTAATGGTCCATCAAGCAGCTGTAGCAGAGAAGAAGGTGCAGAAGCAAAAGGGAAATTGTGCAGAAGGCATCAAATTTCAAATCTAACAAAGTAAAGTAAAATTTTCGAATGAACAAAGACTAACATTACATTAGAGATTAGTGTCATTACTGCAAGGCTGCAATACTAATTAGCCAGTCTGTATTTCATATTTTCATTTTATAGTATTGGAATATGCATGGATCTTGGAGAGAAAGGCAAATTAAATCTGCAATTTCTCATAGATAAGCATCCACACTCACAAATTGATAACTGAGTGAGTCTAGGCCACAAGAAGGCAGGTTAGCATAAATAGAATTTCAAGTCTGAATGAATAATATATAACCTTCTTTAATCTATCATTTGCCAGTCCCAGAATAGTCCATGAAACACCAATCATAACCAAGCTACTAAAACCTAAATACATAATATATAGTATAAACTATGTACTGAATGGAGTATATAATTCCTGCTCATTATTATGTGTACTTCTTTGATTAACTAAACTGAAGACTCATTTTGCTTTTCTTTTCTTTTTTTTCTTTTTTTTGTCATAGGAGGCAAGGAGGTTCACAAAAGTCTTTTTAATGAACTTCAGAAGTCAGTTAAACTAATTCACAAAACTTAAATAAATTTCACATCTTACCAGGTAGAACAATGACTGATTCTTCTTTAGCTAACTTCAGGCAGAACTCCATATCATCATTAATGTCTTCCAGCATTGATAGATTAAGCTTCACCTGGAATAAAATCTGATAACTAGAATGCTCTTTCAATTTCACTAGCTTAGATCATAACAGTTAATTCCCTTACCATTACAGACATCGACCCTTCTGGTTTCTTGGGGCAAGTTATGCAGGGCATCTCCTCAACTCTAGTATAGCATATATCTGCAGCTTCTCTTAGCATGCAGATAATCTTCGAAAAAAAATCCTCCTTTGTATTTTCAAGAATTTGAGGAACTGCTGCCTGATTCACAAAGTCATTTTACAATCTTCAACAAGAGGTTGGGAAAAAGACAAGAGATACCTAGGATGCTTAATGTTTCAAAGTGGAACTAAACAATTAACAGACTAATTTGAAAAATTATACTATAAAAGATGAAAATGGTCATTGGCAGATGACTATATGCTTTTAGCGTTTACTTGCCATTTTTTTATGTTAGGAGTCCATTATAATGTAAATTGTAAAGCAATCATGTTTTACTACTTTTGAGAAGCATTGCCTTTCAAAAAAAGCATACACAACATGAACAAATAGAAGAACTAATTATTACTAAATTTTGATTAATTTACTAATAAAATGCCTGCAAGCAGTCCATTATACTAATACTTCAAAGTTGCAAATTAGGTGCATTTGGTGTTTCTTATGAGCTTATTAGAAAAGACATTCTTATTTAAAAAAAAAAAAAAAGGCTCCCTTGCCCACTTTGATTGCATAAGAAATGCAAAAACCCCTTTAAGCTGCTACTTGTATACTACTGGCTTGTGAAAAACATTGCATTCTTTCAGTGTAAATATGTCCAGGCTTAAACAACAGTATCTTGAATCACCAACCTGAATAAATGTAGCTGGATCGGAGGAGATATTGAGGAATCCCTTAATCGACTCGATTATCTGACAACAAGACATCATTGGAACAACATGCTTGGACTGTTATTTGTCTGAAATATGCAAATAGCTTACGAAACCAAAATCATATATACAACTTAAAAAATGTACTAGTATCTTAAACCAGAGAAAGAGAAACTATTTAAAGGCCAACCCCAGATTTTTGAAGAATGCCATTTGGATCACTTGTCACAAGCCAACCAAGGCGCCAACCAGGAACAATCCACCTCTTTGATATTGATCCAAGGGTAAGAACAGGCACAATTGACCCGAACGCTCGCATTGGCACATATGGAGTGCTTCCAAATGCGAGATTGTCATAAGCTTCATCACCAATCACCAGAATCCCCAGCTTTCTAGCTGTCTCAGCAACCTAGCTTTAGAAAAACCAGTTACTAATATTGCTTTTGAAAAGGTTAACAAATTGTGCTGAAATCAAAATTCATATTGCCAAGTTAATTACAAGCCACTCGCTTCTTGTCATTGTCTATCATGTCACAAGTCATTATATATGCTCTAAAGATACAAAGGTCCAACGGCCACCAAATCCAAAAGCATGAGCATTCTACATCATCCCTCAAGAGTGGTTTAACAAACCTTTGTTAAATGTTGATAGCTGAAGACATTTCCACAAGGATTTCCCGGGTTTATAATAACCATAGCAACCGTATTCTCATCTGCAAGATCCTCAACGGCATTTAAATCAACTTCCCAATCCTTTTGAGGGAGAAGGTCAAAATGACGGAATTCAAGACCATTATAGGCAGCACAAGCTTCATAGTATGGGTAGCCTGGTCTGGGAAGCAAAATGTTGGCACCAGGGCGGGCAAGGACTGCTAATGCAACTTCTATTGCTTGAGTACATCCAATTGTAAGGTAAACATCATCTGGTGATAATTTGTAAGGAAGATCACGGTTGAGATAATCTGCAATAGCCCTGTTAGAGTTTAAATTAGATAATTTACAATAATCTTTGGCTATTCTTTATGTGAAATCTAATATTAGTCTACAACAATCTAACCTCCTAGCCGGAAGAACACCAACAGTGGGTGCATAACAGTTATATTTAGCCGATCGTAGAGAATCAATGATGGCATCTTGAGCTGCAGTAGCGGTCCTGAAGCTTGGAAAATGTGAGGGGTCGCCATGACCAAGAGGAATGACTGGCCTGCTATCTTCCTTATTGAGGCCTTCCATTAACATGTTAAGAACTCCTCGGACGGTGGTGGCTGAGGCTGCCTTCAGCTCCTGCTTACCTTCAAAACCCCATTTCTTTGATCCCTTCTCCATCGTTGTCTTCTTATTATCCACCTGTCTAGCGACGGAGGTCATGGTTGAGTAGCGGTGCTTCGGGGCATTGAGCGCCCCAAACAGCCAAATTTTCATCTCAGCTGAGGACAAGTGTGTCAAGTGCCACTGTGCCAAGGCCGTATGAGAGAAGAAGCTAATGCGAGTGCAATTGCAAAGGAAAAATTACGTGTTAAATGTTAATGCGCGTGGGCCTTGGGGGCAGTTTATGTGGCTTCCCATGTGACGAGGCACAGCAATTTCATTTTCTTCCGTATGCAAAAGGGTTGACGAAAAGGGTTGTCTAATTCGAATTGAAAAATTAATAATTTAATTAATTTAATTGATTAAAGTATTTTTATTAATTAATCATAATTAAATCGATTTATTTTCGATCAGTTCCATAATTAATTGACTTTTCATGACCAAAATAAAACTTTTACTTTATAATAAAAAATTTTTTTTAAAATCACATATCTTTTTATCATTTTTTTATCATATTTTATTATATATGAAAACTAAAAGGATATACAATGAATATATATTATACCCATAAATTATAATATATAATTTAGCTTGAAAGTGTCAATCATAGACAATTATCTTAAATCAATCCAAAAAAAATAATAACCTATAACCAATATCTAATGAAATAAAATGCATATTTCTTCCTTTTCAACAAGCCTTTTTGGTTTTTATCTATCATCATCAAAACCATTATACTTGACTAAACTTAACAATTTGAAAATATGATACAAAAACAATATGAATAAAGAATATGAAGATAACACAACTTAAAATTTTATAAAAACCATAAATAGGTTTAATAAATCAAAAACATTGTATTTTATATTTTAGTATCGATATGAACTGTGACATGAGATTTTCATGTAAAATACGATACGAATACAATATTTTACATGATACAATGACACGAATTGCTATGTCTGCTTTAGAGAAGGCCTATAATGATGATCTTTCTCACCTATTTTCTAAGCTTGGACCCTTCATTCAAAATGCTACTTTTCGAAACCTGATCTTTAGTAGAAGACAAAAGTGCAAGTGCAAAATAATGGTGGAAGTTAAGACTTAAGGATTTTAGAAATAGGATGAAAGAGAGAATTGGGAATTTCAAATTTAAAGATTAAGGTTATTGTTTTTAGTGATTAGTATGAAATTGCAACTATGCCATTAGATAAAAATCTATTAAAATGAGTTGGTTAATTTAGTCAATTCGATTATCAATTTTGGAAATCGATAATCGACCAACTTAATCAATATAACCAATAAAAAAAATGAATAAAATCAAAATCAATTAAACCAAACCAAATTAACCAAATATAGTCAATTTCAATCTATTAAATCAGTTTCAATCGATTTGTGTTCACCATTGCGAATACATCGATTAATGCAATAAAAAAAAAATGCTAGTATTGCCAAAATCTATACAAACAACTAATAAAAGAGCTTCATAAGAGAAAAAAAACTTTTAATCATTGTAACAATGAAAGCATCATAAGAGAGCTATAAACTAAATGACTATTTTGTAGAATTTATTAATGTAAATTACATAATATCAACAATATCAATGTAATTATGTTGTTTAACATAATATTAATTAGAATTTATGATAATTATAATTAGAATAATATCTAGAATTATGATATAAGTATGATATGTATGTGATCTTTTCTTACTTATTATGATATTATATGTAATTCTTGTCTTAATTAGTGAAAATTTTTTTGTATTTAAAAATGATAACTTTGTAAATTTTTTTTCAAGTTAATGAATATAGAATTAATTCTCTTTTAACATGTTGTTAGAGCATAGGTTTTGTTTTATTATTCTTACTTGTTACTACTACTAGTTATACCTTCCATGTTTGTCAAGTGGTAGGTTTTTTGTCTCTACCTACTTGTGATGAATCTTTGTTAAAGTGATGTTATCTTACATATGTTCAATATTGAATTTCTTGTGGTTTTATATTCATGTTAAGTCATTCAATCTATAATCAATTGATTTTATGTTGGATGCTTAACATTGTGCTATAAGCACGAATGATATGATTTAATTTACTATTACTTAGTTAGGTTTTGTTTCAAATCCTTATGACCAAGCATTATTTGTTCGGCATACTAATTAACACATATTGTTGTTGTTATTCTATATGTGAATGATATGATTATCACAATGATGATCAATCTTGCATTATTGAATTAAAATAATTTTTCATCAACAATTCAAAATATAAAATCTTGGTTCTCTTAATTATTTCTTAAGGTTTGGAGTATTTTCTAACTCTAATGGTTAATATCTTTCCCAAGCCAAGAATGCATTTCATTTACTTTCTTGGATTATTTTATTAATAGTAAAACTTTCTCTATTCCTTTAGAGTTTAATGCTAAGCTTACTCCAATGGATGGTACTTTACTTCGTGATCCTACTTTATATCACCAAATTGTTGATAGTACAATTTATCACATAGTAACTCAACTTGATGTTGCTTATGTTGTTCATCTAGTTAGTCCAATTTATTGTTGCTCCCTATTCAACTCATTTCTCAGCTATTTTCGGATTCTTTCTTTTGTCAAAGGCAAATTATTTTGTAGATTATAATTTTCAGTTCTCATTTCTTTAATTTTATCTAGGTTGTTTAATATTGACTAGGCAAGAGATCCTATAGATCATTATTCCACCATTGGTTATTCTTTTTTTTTTAGGAGATTCTCACTTTTTTAGGTGAAGTAAGAAACAAACTATAGTTGATCAATCTAACACTGAATCAAAATATTGTGTTTTTGCTAATATCACTTCAAATTTACTTGGTTTTGATGTTTAATAAAAAATATGGGCATAGCACCATCCTCCACCATCAAACTATACTATGATAATCGTAGTACCATTTAGATTGCTCATGATGATTTCTTTCATGAGTGCACCAAGTATATTAAGATTGATTATCATTTTTGTACACCATCATCTAGCACGAGGGACTATTCTTTTGACTTTTGTGTCTTTTAAAAATCAAACTACTAAATTATTAAGATAATTTTTTGCTTATTATCAATACATAGTTAACAAACTCAAGCTAACATCTTCAATGCCACTTTGAGTAATGATGGGGTGTTTATGTAAATTAATATAATTATTAATACTGACTAGACAAGAGATCTTATAAATCATTATTCCACCATTGGTTATTCTTTCTTTTTAGGAGATTCTCTCTTTTTTAGGTGAAGTAAGAAACAAACTATAGTTGATCAATCTAACACTGAATCAAAATATTGTGTTTTTGTTAATATCACTTCAAATTTACTTTGGTTTTGATGTTTAATAAAAATTATGGGCAAAGCACCATCCTCCACCATCAAACGATTACTATGATAATCGTTAGTACCATTTAGATTACTCATGATGATTTCTTCATTGAGTGCACCAAGTTTATTAAGATTGATTATCATTTTTGTACACCATCATCTATCACGAGGGACTATTCTTTTGACTTTTGTGTCTTTTACAAATCAAACTACTAATTATTAAGATAATTTTTTGCTTATTATCAATACATAGTTAACAAAACTCAAGCTAACATCTTCAATGCCACTTTAAGTATGATGAGGTGTTTATGTAAATTAATATAATTATTAATACTGACTAGGCAAGAGATCCTATAGATCATTATTCCACCATTGGTATTCTTTTTTTTAGGAGATTCTCACTTTTTTAGGTGAAGTAAGAAACAAAATATAGTTGATCAATCTAACACTAAATCAAAAATATTGTGTTTTTGCTAATATCACTTCAAATTTACTTTGGTTTTGATGTTTAAAAAAAATATGGGCATAGCACCATCCTCCACCATCAAACTTTACTATGATAGTCGTAGTATCATTTAGATCGCTCATGATGATTTCTTTCATGAGTGCACTAAGTATATTTAAGATTGATTATCATTTTTGTACACCATCTCTAGCACGACGGACTATTCTTTTGACTTTTGTGTCTTTTACAAATCAAACTACTAATTATTAAGATAATTTTTTTGCTCATTATCAATACATAGTTAACAAACTCAAGCTAACATCTTCAATGCCACTTTAAGTATGATTGAGGTGTTTATGTAAATTAATATAATTATTAATACTGACTAGGCAAACGATCCTATAGATCATTATTCTACCATTGGTTATTCTTTCTTTTTAGGAGATTCTCTTTTTTTTAGGTGAAGTAAGAAACAAACTATAATTGATCAATCTAACACTGAATCAAAATATTGTGTTTTTGCTAATATCACTTCAAATTTACTTTGGTTTTGATGTTTAATAAAAAATATGGGCATAGCACCATCCTCCACCATCAAACTTTACTATGATAATCGTATTACCATTTAGATTGCTCATAATGATTTCTTTCATGAGTGCACTAAGTATATTAAGATTGATTATCATTTTTGTACACCATCATCTAGCCATGAGGGACTATTCTTTTGACTTTTGTGTCTTTTACAAATCAAACTACTAATTATTAAGATAATTTTTTGCTTATTATCAATACATAGTTAATAAACTCAAGCTAACATATTCAATGCCACTTGAGTATGATGGAGGTGTTTATGTAAATTAATATAATTATGTAAACAAATGTAATATTAAGGATTATGATGCTATAATTAGAATAATATATAAGGTTACGATAGAACTAAATATCGTATGTGATTCTCTCCTTGATTAGTAAGAATCCTTTGTATATAAATAATACACGTTTGTATAGCTTTGTCTCAAGCTTTTGAATACAGAATTACTTCAGTTCTAATAGTATTACAGTGGGTCAAATATCTACTAACAATCTATTAAACTCGTCTAAATTGAATTTTCCAAAAAAATGTGTCAAAGATTAAAAAGAACAAAAATTTCTTTTACTCAAGAAATCAAAAAATAACCAAGAAATTTTAGAAATATTTTTATCTTTTTTTTTATAGCTTATATAACATAAGGCAATAACATGTACTATAAACATTCTTTTTTTTTTTTAAACTTGCCGAAATAACAATATAATGGAAATAGAAAGAAGTTCCTTAAACAAACAATGAGTTTTT